CACACACACACACACACACAACACACACACACCACACTATATTTATATGCATATATATATTCTTATATATACATATACTTCCTCCATTAATTAACTCTCCAGGAGTCGAACCCAATAAAACGACCATTCTTCAAGCAAGCAACATCTACTGAAAGCGAAAATAATTCGACGAAGGCAGAACCCTCACCGAACCATTGGAGCCTCGCAAAGCCGCCGAATCCTCTGTGAAGAAGGACTCCATACCTTCGCAAATGCGCTTGGATCCTCTTCGGCGCTAAGAGGCTCACGTCATTAAGACAGAGTTGAGGCGTCGGCCGCTGTTGTTTGCGTGAACTGAAAGACGTTCATGGCGTCTTTGATCGGATTTTGGTTTTGTCTTTGTGGATTATTGGTAATATTAGCGTATTGGTTGTTTGGTTATCATTTACAAAATATATACTGTGGACATAAATACATTCATTTATTAACTGAACACGGTAATGTTTTTCCTCTGAGCTTACATCAAACACATATATTTCTTTATAAATTCGCTCGAAATAAAATACCTGATACGAACTGCAACGTTGTCCATCTTTTTTTATTACTTCTTTTGTCTCTTTCTGTTTTCATTCGTCTTCGCTCGCCACTTCTTGATCTTCCACGGACAAAGAGCCGTGACACCTTCCGCCTCATCTTTGTCGCAGCTGAGCCACTCTCTTCAAGGGGCTTAAGTGAGGAGACCGAGGAGGGGGGGGGGGGGGGGAGAGGAGGGGTGTAGCGGGAGGTGGAGGAGGTGGAGAGAGAGAGAGAGGGAGGGAGGAAAGATCGGGAGAGGCAGAGAGAGAGAGAGAGAGAGAGAGAGAGAGAGAGAGAGAGAGAGAGAGAGAGAGAGAGAGAGAGAAGAGAGAGAGAGAGAGAGAGAGAGAGAGAGAGGAATATACATATATATATATATATTATATATATATATATATATATATATATATATATATATATATATATATATATATATATATATATATATATATTATATATATATATATATATATATATATATAATATATATATATATATATATATATATATAATATATATATATATATATATATATAATATATATATATATATATATTATATATATATATGTATATATATATATATATATATATATATATATATATATATATATATATATATATTTGTGTAACTAATTAGCTATATATCTATTTATCTATCTCTCTATCTATATATGTAGACATACAGACAGATAGATAGATAATTAGAGAGGAAGCTGGAGAGTAAGAGAAAGTAAGTACATATAAGTGATATTTATATGTCCACACACAAAAATAAGAATATGTGTGTGTCGAAACCGCAGCAGTGAGCATAGTCATTGTATGTTAAGAAGTAAGAGCTTTTCCGTCGAATATTTTTATCAACGAAATATCATCGATTCCTTAGACCGACTTCCTTCCGTTATCTTGTCTTGTTCCACGAAGTTGGTGAAAAACAAACAAACAAACAGGATGATCCTACATCTCCACAGGATCAGAAAATATCACTTCTATATATCATAACAAACATTTTGAGAATTCGACACACTCTGTAACTACAAGAATTCTTAGACTCTGTAACTACACCTATCATTATCTATTTATCTGTTTATCTAATTATCCATCTCTCCATCCCGCTCACTCTTAGGAAAGATTCGAAATTATATATTCATCAGCGTGTAAAAAAAGAATTTAGAGGAAACCGAAGAAAGTGGTCGGTTCAGTGGACGAGGAGGAGGTCCTGCAAAGTAAGGCCGGGGGGCGAGGCAACTAGGATTGCAAGTTCTTCACTTTCAGCAGTATATAAAATATGAATATATGTACACACACACCGCGCGCACACAACACACACACGCACACACACACACACACACACACACACACACAACACACACACACACCACATACTACCACACACGCACACACACACACACACACCACACACACACACACACACACACACACCATATATATATATATATATATACATATAGTTAATATATATACTAATATTTATACACACACACATATACACACATACATAAACACAACCACACACACACAACATGCACACACACGCACATATATATATTGCATATATATATTCTTATATATACTATATAATTCCTCCATTAATAAACTTCTTAGCCACACCACACACACACACACACACACACACACACACACACACACACACACACACACACACACACACACACACACACACACACACACACACACACACACACACACACACACACACACACACACACACACATATATATGCATATGTACCAGACTGGGAACTTTGTGTCCCTCTGTTAATGTTGGTCCTACTGAGTTCTCGAGGAGCCATTTTAGCCCATCAATATTTACAAGCAGGGAAGGATATATCATCTTTATTATCGTCATCTCTATTATCACTGTCATCACTGCTGGCGTTGTTATTGTTGTTATTCTTATTCTTG